TCTCTCTCTCTCTCTCTCTCTCTCTCTCTCTCTCTCTCTCTCTCTCTCTCTCTCTCTCTCTCTCTCTCTCACCGTAGCGATGTCTTCAACGCAGAAACGTGGTAAGCCAATCTCGTATCGCTCAACCTTTCTCTCTCCCTCTCTCTCTCTCCTTCTCTCTTTCTCTCTCGACCTTCTTCTTCGTCGTGGTCTTCTCTGCAGGTGGGCGTGGCGGCTTCTTCAACGTCGGTGTCCGCTATGGCGGACTTCTTCTTCGTCGGCCACTTCGCTATGGCGCATCACTCTCCTTGCGACACACAACGCGGCGCGTGGCATAGCGGGTACCAGCTCTGATACCAATGGAATCAGACTAGTTGTCATTCTACACTTTACATGCATGCAAACAGTAGCGCAGCAACTGGCGACATGCGCCCACACAGTACTCAGAGATATGGCAACCCAGATACGAGTTCACTTCCAATGGCTATGGCGACATAGCGCTCATACAACTCTCTGTTCGCATACAATGGATCACCCTGGATATCCCACACGCGACTCTCCGAACACTCACACACACACACACTGAACCCCTACAACAGCTACGGTGGCTATGGCCGCCGCTACCCTATCGCTATGGCTAAACTTCGTTTCTCTGCCCACTTCGTCTTCGGGCTCACTGCAGACCTCCTTGCACAAGTTGCTGTGGCAGCGCTTCTGCATGGCTCACGCAGGAATGAATGAATGGCTGGGCGCTGCCTCTTGATTTATACTTCTGCAGCTCGTTGGTCTGGCCCTTTCCCATGCCCGAAGTGCACACAGTCCCATGCGGTACTTGCTTGAGTGGACCAGGACTGATTGGGGACTGGGACTGCTAACTCAGCACGGGTAGATTCCATGTTACATGCACAGATATGTGATGTTTGTAATAACCGAGGAACTGCAATGTGACGAAAAGGACTGAAATGGACAATGCGGTGAGAGTAGAATCTAGACAGACAATGTGCATTCTCATACATACAAAAGTGCTGAATAGCGCAGGGAAGACTTAGATACAAAGACTGACCTGACAAGGACTGACCTTACACACGTAGTAGCAAGTAGCGAAACAGACTGCTAGAATGTTGATAACTAGTCCAACCGATGGTTGAACTCAGGCCAAACATGCATCGTACCCCTCACCAGGTGTGAAGGAGTCTGGCGCTGCACACAGGAAGAAAGCGCCAGGTCCAGACATGCATAGACGAAGAGGTAAGGATCAGACGAAAGGAGGGAGGAAGATGGGAGTGTCGTTAACACCAAGTCTTTGTCACCGATCCCAAATAACCCCTCGTTGCCATGTCTGAATCCCAAAAAGTCGAGTCTTGGATCCGATATCACCAAGCTCGGTATCTCTTCTCTCGCAGTCTGCAAATGCAGTGAAGTCAAGGGTTGAGAGGTAGAGAAGGAGATGGTGGACTGAGAGGAAGAGGAAGAAGAACTCTCTCTCTCTCACTGTTACGAACCAGATACTAACCTGTGATGTGGCGCTGTGCTGCAGGTACCTTGAAGACGAAGCTGGAGCAACGGCGYTGCAGGTAGGTACCCCTGGCCTCCGCCCAAGCTCTCTCTCTCTCTCTACCACTATCCTAGCTATGGCGCCCAGCGCCGAAGGCTACTAGCTAACGCTACCACTACTATAACGCAGCGCTCCCTCCAGAGGGCTGCTCCCGAATCCTGAAGACTACAACTGCCGACTGCCTCCCTCCTGTAGGGCGGGCCAGTCCTTTATAGTGCTGGCCCGTGCACGAGGCTGGTCGTGCCAATGCCCTATGCGCAGGAGGCCGCTCTTGCCAATGCCTCCCTGGCCTAGACCCTGCGGAAGCTTCCAGGCAAGAGCCTGGAAGTTTCCGTGTAGGGAAACAGGCTGGGGCCTGTAGGCCCTGTCAGAATGAAGCTTCCAGGCAAGAGCCTGGAAGTTTCCCTGTAGGGAAACAGGCTGGGGCCTGTAGGCCCTGTCAGAAGGAAGCTTCCAGGCAAGAGCCTGGAAGTTTCCCTGTAGGGAAACAGGCTGGRGCCTGTAGGYCCTKTCWCGRGCTGTCAGGCTGAACCGTCGGCGGGGCCTGTAAGCCTTGGATATCAGGCTTAAAGCCCGAAATTCAGGTTTTTGGCCTGAACGACGTCGGGCCTGCAAAATGGCCCGTGTGTGCATGTGCAGCATGTAACACTCCACCACTTGACCACTTGCCTCGCCACTTGCCCACTTGCCTCGGTCTAAACGTGGGCAACTTCGAAAGGCCACTACTGGGACCTTCGGAAGGCCGTAGACTTGGCCTTTCGTGACTGTAGCAGCGACGACTTTGACCCTTCTGGACTGTAGCGGCTACGACCTTGACCTTTCGGGAAAGCTACAGCTACGACTTCTCGGCCTGACCAAGACTCCTACTCGACAGGTCTACAGATCTAACCCCTGCGACCTCAGGACCCTACGACAGCCTACCACTGTTACAAATACACAGGTCACGGGTTCAACTCTAAGGGCCGACACAGATACTGTACACAGGTAAGGTGGGAACTAGGGATCGAGCCCTGGGATCTGCATCAGCTACTGCGAATTGGTACCAAGGGGGCATCTGCGGTGTGTGTCCGGCGACTCTCCGCATGTCCTTGTTGAATTCTACCTGCAGGCTAGGCTACCAGCCGGACCGCCGGGCCACCCTGTTTTCCAGGGCGGCCCGGCCGTGCAATTGCCAGGGAAGGTCCCAAGACTCCCAACAAAGAAAAAAAAAATAAAAAAAATCCTTAGAAAAACCTATGTTATGCAGAAAAATAAACTGAAGTTACTGAACAACTTTCTTTTATTTTTTATTTTTTTTAAGGCTAATTCTGTAAGCCCAACCAATGCAATTACCTGTTGAACAAGGACAGGACGGCCTTTCAGGCCTTTTTTATTGTAATTATAGTATTACGGGCAACCCCGTAGCAGCCACATCCGTGCTCAAGCCTCCGAGGGAACATGAAGGAGCTGCACCCACCAGCATGTGCGATACCTGCTACAGCAAGTGGGCTATACCGGACCTTGGAGAGATCTTGTAGTCCGCGTTAATGTAGCTCAGTGGTTAGAATACCGGTTGGAAATGTGCATTGTGGTATGAGGTTGCAGGTTCAAAACTCAATTGCAGCCTTGCGCATGGACACCGGCAGGGCGTTAGAATGGCGCATGACTGGACACACATTCCCTTGGGCTGACGCACAATAAGCTTATACAGACACTGCCTGCGCACCACCCAAAGGTTGTCCATGGTGTTGTATGTCGGGTCTCGATACTGCGTGGGTTGCTTGTGGCTGTTGCTCGTGGTTGTTCTGTTGATCTCTCCAGTCTGGCATAGTGCACACAGGGGCCGTTTGCGATTGTTGCTCAAATGGTAGAATCTTCAGGTCACATGCCATAGATCACGGGTTCGAGTCTGGCTTGGGACTTTGGAGGGGTTTCTTGTCCAGCTTGGCCTGCCATCTCTTCAAACGAACACATAGTTCCCTCTACATAGTACTGTACATATCTGGCCTTCGGGCACATACATCTCGCTATACAGTTACACAGAGCACACATAGACTGCACATATCTGGCCTTTGGGCACATACCTCTCGCTATACAGTTACACAGAGCACACATAGCCTTCGGGCAGATACAAAACACATGGCCCTATGGGCTCATACAAACATACATAGCCTCTGGGCACACACACATACACACAACTACGATACCAGGCTGGGGGGGTCTATCAGGTATATGACAGGGTCTACTCACGCATAGCTTAGCTCTAGGGTAGGGGTAGGGATATAAGTCGCTCCGGCTAGTCTGAGTTCCCCCTAGCCTTGGGTAAGCTAGGGGAAGGACAGTAGGATGTGTCCGCGAGCGCTAGCCTGCCTTGATTAGGTGATCCTGCTGGGAAGACTCTCTGAATTGGGCCTGTAGAAGATTGCATGAGCCTCGCGTCCGAAGTTCCCGTATGGCAAGGTTCGTCTGCTTCCACTTCCATCAGGGCTGAGAGGTTGGCCCATCCTTGGTGCTTGTCACTGTTGTCTGGTCCAAGTTGCCCTCTATATACTGGTAGGGTAATGGGGTAATGGTCCTGAGTGCTGGTCACACTGAGGTAGGATAGTAGGGACAGGGGGTGCGCTGGGAATATTAACGTGGGGATGGGTAGGGTAGGTGGCCTATCCTGTCAGGACAACCATTGGCTGCCGCTACCAGCAATCACCGCTGGTCTGGTCCTTGGCCTCTACGACACCCTGGGCTTTGTTAAAAAAAA